CGGGCTGGCCTCTCATGGGGTGGGGGGTGGGTGTTTTGGGGGCTCCCCTGCTTGGGGGTGGCCAGAAGGTGAAGGTGTAAGTTCTTTCCAGCTCCCCCCAGGGTGCCACGTTCCTTCCATTACCCAGTAGGTGTCTGGGGGCTGGGATGCAGCAGAGGGTGGAACTCAGGCCTGGTTCTTCTGGCCGACCGAGCAGTCGGGGGAGACAGACGCCTCACAGCCCCTGTGCGTGTGACTTGTACTGTGCCCAGCGTGCACACACGTGGGCAGCTTCACGCATCCCCCCCACGTGACTCGGGTGGTATGCCAACTCCCTGGATGCAGCAAAGAGGACGTGGGGTCTGGAGCCCCGGTGGGCACCCTGTTGTGGGTACAGCCAGGCTCACCGTCCTGATGTCACCCTACAGGCACCGCTTTCTGAGGGCGCGGGGGGGTCTGGGGGCCCAGGCAGCTTGTTGGGGCACGTTCCTTGGAGGAAGAAGTTCCCAAGTTTGGGTAGGGTCCGAGGGGTCTCGGGTGGGCCGTAACTGACCTGAGCAAGGTTCTGGGGGGTGTGAATTCATGAGGGGCCCTGGGACCAGGGACTTCTAAGGTGGGGAGTCGGGGGTTTTGGGGTTGGTCAGTCAGTGCTACCCTGGCCAGGGTGGGACCCACCGACAGACCCCACACGTGAGGGTCACTCTCCAGGACCAAACACAGCCCCACCCGGGCTGCTTCCAGGCTGTGGCCAGAACCAACTGGACCTCCTGGGGGGGTGGGGAAGGGTGGTGGCCACCTGGCCCGCAGGCCGTCTGTGGCTCACTCCTGCCACCTAGCGGCCTCTTCTCATTGTGGGACCTGCAGGACACAAGGCGGGTCACCCGGCCCGGACACTGCGTGGGGGTGGCTTCCACGTTGGACTGCACCGTGTCAGGGCTCAGGGCTCCCGTGACGGGGCGAAGGGCCGTGGGCCGCAGGTCCCCAGCTGCGAAGCACCCCACCTCCCCTGCCACGCACCCCCGCCTGCCTGTCCACTCCCCCTTCCCCATCACCTGCCCTGCCCGGGCCAGGCTCCCCAGGCTGGGCCCTCCTCCCGCAGGACGCCCCGCCTCCTGGCCACTCTTCTCGAGCGCCATGGCGTCTTGGTCTCCCTTTGTCTGCAGCCTCGGTGGCCTTAGTCGAGAGCTTCTGAGACGTGTCAGGCCCCTGAGGAGCTGTCTCTGTGGCCCTTGCCGGAAGCTCCAGAGGTAGAGACCACCTGGCTTCTCACGAGAGAGGCCGAGGGCCTGAGGTGGGCGGTCTGGGTTTTGCACTGGCTGAAGCGGGCAGGGCCTCCGTGCTCAGCTGACAGCCCCTCCTCGCCTCCCTGTCCTCGCTTCGGTGCGCCATCGCAGGGCAGCGCACGAAGTAAGCCCATGGGTTACCATGGAAACCAATTCCACTGAAACACAGTCACCAAATTATTTTCTAAAATGTGTGATATAGAACCTAAGTGCTTCTCTATCGCTGCAGCTCCCGGCAGTGACAGCAGTGAGCGTCGGCAGGACGCTGGGGTATCAGCAGGATGGCTGTGACACAAGGTGCCTCCAGTTTGTGCTGTGGTCAGTCCCAGCCCTGCTGCGGGACCATACGTGTCCCCTAGAGAGCAATGCAGAGGCGACCGGGAGTCTTTCCCACTAGTCTTTCTGCCAGGGGGTTGGTTCCTGACCCGCAGGTTGACACCCTGTCCTATTCTCCCTCCCACCCGACCCAGTCCCCCTCCTCAGCTCCCAGACCTGCCCTGTCTCCATCTCTGCCCACCCCCACCTCCCCAGGTTGGTCCCTGTCCCGCGGCCGCCTCTGTCCCTCTCAGCAGCTTGGATCCGGTCACAGGGGCTGAGGTACAAACTCTGCAGCCTTGGAATACAGTCCCCAAGCCCCTGCTCTCCTCTGTGTGCCCAGTGTTCAGTGTCTACCCGGCTGGCTCTGCCACTTGAGGAGAAAGGACAAAACCCCAGGGCCCCACCCCTGGGGGACAAGGGGCAGGGCCCTTCCTTCTTAACCAGCTTCTAGGTCATGCTTTAGAGTCTCTGTGGCTTGAAACATCCAACCCAGTCCCACACATAGAAGCCTCCCTCACTCAAAGCCAGGACAGAGGAGGCTGCCCAGCTAGGCCTCCCCAACAGGCAAAGTTAAGCTGATTCGCGGACTGACAGGAGGAAATTCCTCCTCGAAGCACCACGACAGAGCATCCTGAGATGCTGAGCTCAGCCATGGCTTCTGACAAAGGCTAGAGCACAGGGGAGAGCGTGTCAACCACACGGTCAGCAGGCAGCAAAGCACTCAGCCTCTCCCCTCTGGAGTGGGCGGGTGTATCTCCGAGAAACCTCAAAGCAGCTTCCGGTCCCTAAGATTACAGTCAGAAAGGTGAGCATCGGGAGAGGCCTCTCAGAAGCATCACCTGGGCTGCCAAGAAGGGCTCGTGCCAGACAGTCCAACCCTGGCAGAGGCACCAGTTGAGGCAGGGTCTGGGCCATCAGCACAGCCCGCAGGAGTAGGTCACTGTTACGGAGCCAGCCTCGAGGCCAGTCCCCATCTGATTTCTCCGCAGGGCAAAGGAGGACAAAGTGCTGAGGGTTGGGGGTGGGCATGCAGAAACCCCGGAAAACCAGCCTGAGACCCTCCCCCCCTTGACCATGCTCCGAGGGTCCCCGAGGCCACAATCCCGGCCAGAGCGCTCAGGAGGTCTGGCAGCGGCCCCGGGACAGCGGAAGGTGGCGGAGGAGGGCTCATGGGGCGGGGAGAGGGGACGGACCCCAGCGTGCCTTTGCGGCCCCGCGCAGTCGGACCCTGGCCGCCCCCGCGAGGTGTTGGGAGGAAAGCGCGGGTTCGGCGCCGCGGCCCCCACGCACGGCCGCGCCCCGCGCGGCCGCAGCGCCCTCCGCCGGCTAACCGGTCCACTGGCGGCTGCCCGCGTAAGGACTACACTTCCTAGGATGCCCTGCGCGCCCCCTGGCTCCTGGGAGTTGTGGTCCGGCGCAGGGCGGGCGCGCGCGTGGCGGGCGGGCGCGAGAACTACGTATCCCAAGATGCAGCGCGGTGCCGCGGGGGCCGGAGGTTTGAACGGAGGGTCTCCCGCCCGTGGCGGGGCTGCGTCTGCTGCGGCGGGTGCGGGAGGCTGCGGCGGCCGGGGCCGGGGTCCGGGCCGGGAGGCCGAGGCTGGCGCGGCGGGCGCTGGGGGCGGTGCCCCCGAGGCGATGATGGGCAAGGAGGAGGAGATTGCGCGGATCGCCCGGAGGCTGGACAAGATGGTGACCAAGAAGAGCGCGGTGAGGGGCGCGGGCCGCCAGGACCCCGGGACCCCCGTCCCGCCGAGCCCCCGCCGAGCCTGCCGAGCCCCCGTCAGGGCCGCGGCGACCACCCGAGGGGCAGGACGAGACTCCGCCCCGGGAGAGACTCCCGGGACACGGGGAGACCCCCGCCGGAGGCCGAGACCCCCGCCCTGGGCCAGCCCTGCCCTTCACCTCGCACCCACGGCAGAGGCCGCGATCCGGTCTGAACCTTGTCCCGGGAGCCAGCCGCTCTGGACTCAAACCCAAACTGCCAGACTGAGACCCCGCAGGCCTGGGATCCGCCCGCTTCCTCCCCTCACTCCGGAGCCCCTCGGGAGGCCGGGCCGGCGGAGACCCTCCTCGGCCCAGTCCCTCCAGGCCCTGCGGAAGCCCCGGCCCGTGCAGCCCTGACTGGCCGCCCCCCCACCCCCGTCTTCCTCCTCCCCAGCCGGGGCATCCTCGAAGTCCTCCAGAACTCCCCGCCGAGCCCCATCCCCGACTCAGAGCCCTCTGTCCCACCCTGGGTCTCCCACACCCATTCTCCGCCTTCGAGAGTTTGGAGTGTGAGAGTGGACCCCCTTCTCCCCTGGAGCTACAGCGCCCCCCTACCTCTGCCGGGCCTGGGGCTGCGGCCCCCATCATCTCATTTTCACCGGCCAGCCGGCCAGAGGCCTTTCTTGTCTGGGAGGCCCTTTTTTTCCTTGTCTGTTCAGTCCTCCAGGAACCGGGTTGCCCTAATAAATCCTCTCCCTTCCTTAGCCAGGGCTCAGCCAGCAGCTACTGGGGAGTGGGCAGATGCGGAGGCGCCCTTGGGAAAGAGCCCTAGGAAGCCCTCAGCCTGGCCTGGGAATACCCGGGCGCAGGACTCCCCCCGACCCCCGCGACCAGCTGGCCGGCTTCTGTCGTCCCTCGCCAGTGAGCCTCTGGGGAAGGCTGTGCCCGGTCTCGGGCTGGTGGCGGTAGCGGGCGGACAGCACATGGGGCTTCAGTTTCAGGCCCCTCTCAACTTTGGACCTTGGTGATCTGGGTATCCTCGCAGGGAGCATCTTTGGTGGGTGGTACCTGCCTCTAGGGAGTGGAGAGGAGTCCTGCCGGCTCCCTGAGAGGCTCAATAAACGCGACCAGCTCTCCCCAGACTGAGCTCCTGGGGCGGGGCCGAGGGGTGGTGGGGGCCGTGAGGGAGGGTCAGCTGGGGTCTTGAGATGCCTGCCCCGCCACTCCAGGGCTGTGTGCCTGCACTGGTGGTTTGGGGGTGACTTTTGGGCTGAGCATGGGTGAGTCTGGGTCTTTGGACAGGGTTCTCCCCCGGGGCTGGGGAGGCGGCTGGCTCCCACGCTTTCATTCATCCATCAAGCAGCAGCGCCTGCCCCAAAGCCCGCATGATGCTCTCACCCCTGGGGCTGTGGGCAGCACAGAGCAGGGATGTGGGAACGTCTATGGCTGTTTCCAGAGATGACCAGGGAAAGAAGCTGCCTCCTCTCTGAAGGAGACAAAATAAATGCGCCCCAGCTGGGGGCAGAGATGGGCCACGGAACCCACGGAGGGCTGGGTCGGGCCAGGCAGGACGGGGGCAGGGGGCATCAAGGTGGAGCACCGCATGGATGGAAGCCCAGGGAAGAATGAGGAGGGGGGACAGGTGTGGACTGGGAAGGGGGCTAGGGGGCTTGGGGCGCCATGGAGTGGGGGGTGAGAGCTAGCAGAGGCTCCTGGTGGGTCCCAGTGCCTTTGAGGCCCCTTGGGGGAGTTGGGGGCCGTGACTGGGAATCACGTTTATGCCCCTCTGGTCCGGAGGCCACAGAAAGCTGGCGTTCTGCAGCCCGGGGCTCCGTTTGGGGGAAGATGATTGATCGCCGAGTGGCGCTCGGTTCTGGTGACCATTTGTCCCCTCTGAGGAGCTGACTACAGGGCTCGACTCTGTAGCCCAAGGGGCAGGGCCCGCGGGGGTGACGAGGGGGAAGCTGCAGCCTGAGCAGAGATGCCGTCCAGATCAGGGATGGGGCAGGCTCTGCCCCTCCCACAGCCAGGCTGCGGGACATCTGAGGCTGTCGCCCCTTGGATGGCTGTCTCCTTCATGTCGTGAGGGAGACACGCACACGTGAAACCACACCGGTGGGTTCCGTGAGCCTTCTGTGGAGGAAGGCGAGGTGGGGAGCGAACGGGGTGGCGCCGGGCTGCTTGCCGTCAGCGGGAGAGGCCTCGCCGAGAATGTGTCATTTGCACAGAGCTTTGGAGGGAGAGTGGGGCAGGCGTGTCGCTGGCAGTGGGAGCAGCGGGTCCCGGGGCGGGCAGCTCAGCCCCCTGAGGGCCCTGGGGAGCTTCGTCTGCTGTGGAGCCGTGTGGCCCCTGTGTATGCGGCTACGAGGAAGCAGATGTGGGCAGGGGTGCCGGACAGAGAAGGGAGACGGGGTTCTGGCACAGCTGTCCAGGCGAGGTGACGCGGCTGGAGGGAGTGAGCAGGGGGCGTGGGGTGCACGTGAGGGGAGCAGAGGTCCCTGAGGGCTTGGCCCCAGCAGGCGGCACTGAGGAGAGGCTGCCTGAGCCACGTGGGCGGGGGATGTGGGACCCGGCAGGTGCGGGCGCCGCCCCTGCTGGGGATGGGCTTCGGCCCTTTCCCCTGACGGCCCTTGGGGGCCCTGGGCTGGGGTTAAGTGCACAGCTGCTCCCTTCTCATGCCTGCCTTCCCTGGGCATCTGACCCCAGGTGGATCTCCAGTCTGTCACTGCCTCGTGTTCCCCCAGCCCTCGTGTGTGGGAGGAGCTGAGCTTGCCCACTGAGACCTCAAGGTCATTTACGAGGGTCCTCCCTTCTCCTTCCAGGAGGGAGCCATGGACCTGCTGCGGGAACTGAAGGCCATGCCCGTCACGCTGCACCTGCTGCAGGTAGGGCCCCGAGTGCCCCGTCCCCCAGCTCCCAGGCACCTGGCAGAGCTTCCTGCTCCCCACCCCGGCCCTTGGCTGGCATGAATCCCTGCCTCTGAGGAGACTGTCCCTTGCCTTTCTCTGTTACTCCACGAGACAGGGAGGGGCATTCAAGGGCAATCCGCTGTGTTCCTCGCGAGGTTCCTGCACATGGGGCAGTAACCGTCGGGGGGGGCATCCGCCTCCCCTCGCTGGTGCCCAGCTTGCCCTGTGGGAGTCACCGAGGGTCTGTGGGGAGGGTCTGACCGCTGCCCCCAGCCTGGCCGCTTGCCTTGCAGTCCACCCGCGTCGGCATGTCTGTCAACGCCCTGCGGAAGCAGAGCTCGGACGAGGAGGTCGTCACGCTGGCCAAGTCTCTCATCAAGTCCTGGAAGAAGCTCCTGGGTGCGGGTCAGGCAGCCTAGGCTGGGCGTGGGGGCGAGGGGCACCCGAGACGCGCTGGCCCTTGGCAGACTGTGCTGTTCCCGAGCCAGGGCCACCTGGGAGCCAGTCCAGGAAGCACTGGCTCGGGCTGGGAGGAGGGGGCTCCACGAGGAGCAAGGGGAGTTAAGGCTGCGCTGAGCCCTGGAGGGGGGCCTGGCAGAGCTGGGGGAGGTCGCTCAGGGGAGGAGTGTGGGGCAGTCAGAGGGCGGGGGGGAGGGGGGGCGAGGAGGGGGAGGAGGAGGAAGGGCGTCTGGAGCCCCTCAGGGAACAGGGGCAGCCTCTTTCTAGGGACAGTGGGGCGACTGGGATGCCCCCACTGGACCCTGAGCTTCCCCTCCCTTCCCAGCCCCTCCTGGGCTCTGTCCAAGCCCTTGGGAAACAGAGCTGCATGTCCTGGGCTTCTCTCCAGTCCTGCGTGGCTGTTGGGCTGTGTGTTGGACAAGCGTATTTATTCTGGTGGCATATGGGACGCTTCTCGTCCTGTGGGAAGGTCCCCAGTGCAGGCTGGGACTCCCTCGATGGCTCGCTCTGGGGCCGAGGCCCAGCTGGGGAGTGGCCATGCCCGGCCTGCCTGCGGTGACCAGCCTTTGTCCGAGTCCAGCCGTGCCATCCGTGAAGGCCGTCACTCTGGGGGGGTTCTGTACTCAGGGAGACTTTTCAGGACCTTCCTTGGCTGCGGAGAGAGGACCGCAGTCATTCGCAGGAGGCTGGGGCTGGAGGCAGGGTCCGACGTCCGCTGGCTGGGGCTGTGCCTCGGTGGTGGTCTGCCCCCCTCCCTGGCCCCGCCCTGCCCTCCGGGCCTGCCTTCTCCCAGCCAGCCCTCCCTTCTTTCCCGGCACATGTAGACGCTTCAGACGCCAAAGCCAGGGAGCGGAGGAGGGGCGGGCCTCTGCCCACATCGTCCTCCAAGGAGGCCTCCGAGGCCCAGGACCCCAGGTAGCACGTCTGGAAGGCAGACACACGCCCCGCCCATGGCCCCACTTTCTCGGCAGACCGGGGTGCGGATTTCCAGGGGCGCTGGGTGGGGGCGCTGAGGTCATCAGCCCTTTCAGCTCCTCGGAAGGGACTCTCCCCAGGGTCAGCCTCTTGCTGGACACTTTCCCTCCGGAGACTCCTCTGGGCCTTTTTAGCCCCAAGCATCTGAGGGGGGCACTCTGTCTGCCTGGCTGAGCGGGCCTGTGGGAGCCCGTTGCTCACGTCCCCGGATCCAGGCCCGGGCTAACTCTGGCTACCCACGTTGGCCTGGGGTCTCTGGCTGCCGGCCCCTCCCTCACCGGGGATGCCCCAGGCTGTGGCATGGTGCAGGCTTTGGGGCTACTGAGGCCTCCCTGCTCCTGCCGCCCCCGGGATGGGCTGTGGCTGAGAGGCTGCTCTGCCCTTGACCCCACTGGGCAGCAGTGGCCAAGGGCGAGGAAAAGCTGAGCTTTGGATTCACCGCATGGCTGTGCAGAGACGTGGGCTCATCTGCCCACCTGCACGTTTTAGTTTTCCTCCAGGAAGCCGCCTGCTTCCACTGGCTTCCGTGGAGGTCACAGGGTCACGAGATGCAGGGGTGTGAGAGGAGGGCCGTGGGTGGACAGAGCCTTGTGGACAGGCAACCCATGGAGGGGGGTGCCCAGACCTCCATGGGGTGGGGCTGCCTGCATAGTGGTGCCTGGTCTTGAGTGATCCCTCGTCCCGTCTGCCTCCCCCTGACCTGGCAGTTTGCGTTGGGCAGTGTGGCCCCGTGTCCCAGGTCTCCCTGAGGGTGGGGATCCCGTCTGGGGGTGTGTCTCACCCAGTGATCCTCACTGCCTCTGGCCAGACCGCGTGGACGTGCTGGACCTGACTGTAGATGGGCAGGGTTCTGGGCCGCTGTCAGGGTGGAGCAGACGGGGTCTGGGGGCATCGTGGCTGTGACATTGGCTTTTCTGGGGACCGGCATCTCACGGAGGTGCACGTGGCCCGAGCGGGCCTCTCTCCAGCCGCAAGAGGCCAGAGCTGCCCAGGACGCCATCGACACCCAGGATCACCACGTTTCCTCCGGTGCCGGTCACCTGTGACGCCGTGCGCAACAAGTGTCGCGAGATGCTGACCGCTGCCCTGCAGACGGACCGTGAGTGCCTGGGCCGGGGCCACCCAGCACACCTCGGGGTCCTGGCTCCTGACACACGCTTGATTCCCAGGTGGCCTGGGCCCCACCTGCCTGTGGAGGCCTGAGTCCAACCCCGTGCTGCTGACCTTGGGGGTGGGGAGCCGGGGGTCTCTGGGGAGCAGGACGCCCGGATGCTGCGCAGGCTGAGGTGTGGGGGGGAGCCGGCAGGGCAGCTGGTCAGGGCTCCTTCTTGCAGATGACCACGTGGCTGTCGGTGCAGACTGCGAGCGCTTGTCGGCCCAGATCGAGGAATATATCCTTTGTGCAGCGGCTTGGGGGCTGCAGATCTGGAGGAACGGCGGGGCCAGCCAGGCTCAGCTCCCCTAGTGGCCACTGTCCTGCGCCTTCGCCAGGGGATTGGGCGGTCGGGTGGGCGTGCTCGTCTTGACCAGGGGGCTCCTCCCAGACCCTCTGGGGTCTGACCGGGCCTGCGGTGGGCCTGGGTCCCGGGCCTCCAGCCTGCATTTGGGTCTCAGCCGGGAAAGCGTCAGTTGTCGACGCCCACGTGTGGCTGGCTCTTGCGACACGCCTCGCAAAAGGCCCTGGCTGACCTGGGGGCAGGGGTGGAGGGCGGGGCATCGGCCTCCCTACGGCTCCTTAAACGTCCGCACGCATCTTCCGGGACGTGGGGAACACGGACATGAAGTACAAGAACCGTGTGCGCAGCCGCCTCTCCAACCTCAAGGACGCCAAGAACCCCAGCCTGCGGCGCAACGTGCTGTGCGGCGCCATCACGCCCCAACAGATCGCCGTGATGACCTCGGAGGTGAGCCCGTGGGGGCGCTGGGGGCTGCCCCTGGCGGGCCGCGGGCTAAGCACGCGCCCCTCGCCCCAGGAGATGGCCAGTGACGAGCTGAAGGAGATCCGCAAGGCCATGACCAAGGAGGCCATCCGCGAGCACCAGATGGCGCGCACGGGCGGCACGCAGACCGACCTGTTCACCTGCGGCAAGTGCAGGAAGAAGAACTGCACCTACACGCAGGTGAGCGTCGGCAGCCCTCCCGGAGCCCCGCCCCTCCTCGGAGCCGTCCGTGCCCCTGCTGTGCAGGCCGGATCCCCCTTGCGCCTGGACACGTGCGGTGTGAGTGGTGCTGGGACGGGGGTCCGACAACCTAGTCTCCGATGGGGCTGGGAGCTGCGGTCACCCTTGGGGCCTCCCCCTTGCCGAGGACCCCTGCTCCCCAGTAGGCAGTCTTGGGCGGTGGGTCCAGCCCGTTCGTTCTGGGGCACTGAAGTTTGGGAGCCCAGCCCCCCTGTGTTGCTGCTGGTGGGAGGATGGGTGCCTGGTGGTGGTAGCAGGACTCCACTCAGAGTTGTGGAGGTGGGCCCCAAGAGATGTTGGGGGGCCCTGTAAGAGGAAAGCGGTTGGGGCGACTGCAAGGTGGGGGTTGCAGGGCAGCCTCAGCCCAGGTGACGTGAGGCCAGCGCGGCCTGAGGCCGTGGGGGGCGGGCTTCCCAGGTTGTGACTCCTGGGAAGTCCTGCTCCCTGGGGCCTCCAGCTGCAAGGGACTGAGGCCCTGGGGCTGGGCCCCTCCCACCGTGGCCCTCCCCACAGGTGCAGACCCGCAGCTCCGATGAGCCTATGACCACGTTCGTTGTCTGCAACGAGTGTGGAAACCGCTGGAAGGTAGGTGGGTGAGCCCAGGCCATCCATCCCCAGCCCTGTTCTCTGGAGGAGGGTGTCTCCAGCCTTTGTGGGGTCTGTGGTGTGAACTGGGGGATGGCCATGCCAGCCAGCCTCCTGGGAGCCTTGGAGATGGTGGATGGAGACCCCAGCCCTGCCTCCTGCCCTGTGGGGTCCTGCAGGCCACGTGGCTGGATGGGCGCCTCTCACCTGTTTCTTGCAGTTCTGCTGAGCCCTGTGCATGTGTGCCTGCAGCCTTGGGCCACGGCCAGTGCTGGCCGTCGCCCTTTCCCCATCCTCTGCCAACAGATACAGCTTCTCTGGAGACCTGCCCTTTGCCCACCTGGCCTTCCTCAGAAGGCAGCACACCCTGCCCCCCACCCTGCCTGCAGTGCACCTTTCCCCCTCTTACCCCCCAGTTATTAAATGTTTCTTTTTGCCACTGTTTTTTCCCTAGCCCTTGGTCCTGGTGGGCCATGTACAGGCCTGGGCTTCAAGCTGGGTCCCCCATCCCCTCATCTCTGGTTTGATCTCCCCGACCCCCGCCGCTGCGGAGACAGCCCACCTCCCTGGGGTCGGGTGACGCTGAGGCTTGGCCTGTTGGGACAGCACTGGAAGGAAGAGCCCGCTGGCTCTCAGAGGGGCCTGAGTGTACCCGTGGGAGGGGCAGGGCTGGGCCTGCATAGCACGAGGATCAGGTGGTGGGGGGGCTGTGGGCGCACAGAGGAGCCGGGGTCTCACGACCTCTCCGGGCACCGCAGCTCAGGGTCCAGGGATTATGGGCGGGAGGCTAAGTCTGGGCCCCACAGCCGTGCCTGCCTGCAACCCTTCAGGATGCCCCACTGCTCGTGGAAGCAGTGTGAATGGGGGTGGACCCCTGACCAGACCCTCTGCGCCCTGGTTGCAGCGTTGAATCGCTTTACCAAGCAGAAACTCAGGGAACAGGGTGGCAAGTGTGTGCCTTGTGGGGCCTGTGAGACAGTACAGGTGACTGCCCGGCACCCGGGGTCTCGGGGAGGTCTCCCCCGTAAGTGTCCTGCCCTAGCCGGCCAGCCGCCGCCAGGGACCCTGCCTGCCCAGTGTCCCGTTGCGTTGTCACCCTTGGTGGCGCCCTCGCGTGGGGAGGGCTGAGCACAGCTGCCCGCTGAGGCTGTTCTCTGAGGGGTGGGGTTGGAGCAGAGCACAGGGGCCCGTCACTGAGCGTGCTGCTCCCCTGCTGGGGGTCGTGGCCCACTCCTCGTTCTCTGATTCCCCCGCAAACGTGGACGGAGGGGAGAGGCTTTTACTTGAAAAATATCTTCAATAATAAGATTCTATTTTGGGGGGAAGAGGAGTGGAGTTAAATATGAAAACTTTGTTTTTGTTTTTTGATAAAACACACAGTGCCATGTTATTGGCTTAAACTCAATGAACATATAAAAGAAGCCGGGTCCTGCTGCCTTGAGCCTGGTTCTGAGGTCCTGGGTCTGATCCCGGGGTGCAGATGGCATCAGTTGGAGGTTTCCTCTTGTCACAAAACTAGACAGCACAGAGCTTCTGTTCTCCACCAAAGGCGCTTCTCAGGGGCCCCTGGGGCCCGGGGAGGAGGACCTTGTGGGTCCAGGATGCTTTCAGGGAGGGCGCCTCCTTTCACCAGGTGGGAACCCCAGCAGGAAGTGCTCAGTAGGGGTGGTGGTGCTGGAGGGGCTGCCTAGGCCCAGAGGCCCTCACGCCCGCCTCTCAGCTGGATCCTGGGGCGCTGGGTCCTCTGGGTGGGGAAGGGGGCTTCTGGCCTGCCCAGCACCTGGAGCTCCTGCCTGGGGCCGCCTGGGGCACTGGGCCCGGCGGGTGTGCCCGCACGTGAAGCGCATTTGTGAAAGGAGTCTCTGCCCGCGGGAGGGGCCCCGCGTCCAGGCAGCCACGGTGGGCAGTCTAGGCCTCACTGGAGGATGTGGAGCGGCCCCGGAGCAGCAGGGCGCGGTAGGCGGGGGAGCTGAGGAAGCGGGGGTAGGAGTCTCGGTGCATCAGCGTGTAAATCTGCAGCTGCGCGTCGTCAAACGTGTGCGCCGACGGCTCCTGCATCTTCTTGTTGACGCCCTCCCGCACCCGGGAGTCCAGGCTCACCTGCGGGACAGGGGCCGTGGTCAGGGGCCCGGAGGCGCCCCCGCCCCCCACCCCGGTCCCCGCGCGGCGCACCTCCTTGGGGGACAAGATGGACACATAGTCCTCGTAGATGAGCCGCGCCTTCTCGTCCACCACGTGCTGGTTGGCCTCGGCCTTGAGCTCCTCGCAGGCCAGCCAGAAGAGCATGTTCTCCTCGCTGTACTCGGTGCGCAGGAACTCGCGGAACACGCTGCGGCCCGCTGGACTGTGCATTAGCTTGTCGAAGGACTGCGCCCAGCTCCGCACCTCCTCTGGGCTCGGCGTGGCACTGCGGGCACGGGCATCCGGGTATCGGCCACAGGCCGCGCCAGGCCCCGCCCCCTCCGCCCGGATCCCCCCCCCCTCCGCCCGGATCCCCCCCCCCCCCCCCCCCGCACCGCGCAGACCCGCGGCGGAGACTCACCAGGCTTCGCAGCTGGGGAGGGGCTGCAGCCTGCTCTCTCGGGAGGCCCGCCACGCTCGCCGCCGCTCCTCGTTCCTGCCGGCAGAGGGGACGGTGGCACTGCCCTCCGTGGCACGCGTGTGCGCGCAGGACGCTGGCCACACAGTGACACCGACACGCGTCTGTATGGGCACGAGGCCTAGGGGCTCTCAGCACACGCGTGAACCCCCTGCAGGGTGGGTCGGCTCCTTTCCCGATCTCCGGTCCGGCCCTGGGCCCGTTGTCTTGCCTTTGGGGCTTCACAGGCCCCTCGGGTACCTCTCCCTCCCTGGCCTGACCTCGACCCCCACTGCTTTCTCCCAGAGACTCCGACTGATGGGGAGAAAGCCCCCAGCCCGTGTGTCTGGCCCCTGACTCTCCCTCGGGGCCCTGCTTCTCTCCTTAGTTCCCGCCACAGCATCAGTGCTGGCTCCGCAGTCCACACCTCCAGCTGGACCTCTCCCCAGGGTCACTGAGACGGCTAACAGACACCTCAGCCTCAAAGGTCCAGACAGAACTCACCTCCCACCCTACCCCCACCCGCCAGACGCCAGACTCCTCACTCCTCGCTTGGCCCCTCGTGTCTCTACCCCCAGGCGGTCCCTCTCCTGTTTCGGGCCTCAGTTGCTCACTGCTCAGCTGATCCCCCTTTGGGTCCCCTCAGCGCTGTCCACTCAACAGCCACGGGGTGGAAGCCCGAAAAGGGCCAGGCCTCTGCGAGGCACAAAAACCCCAACAGGTTCCCTACGCGCCTAGAAACCACATCCCCCCTGGAGGCCCCACGTCCACCCCCTGCACTGTCCCAGGGCCAGGTCTCTGCTTAAGGCTCCTCCACCTGACACAATGTGTAGGGCCTGCTTTTGCTCTGCTGTAGGTCCCCAGGGCCAGTCTGGGCGGGCTTACAGTAGACACACGCGTGCGTGCACACACACACACACACGTGCACGTGCCGGCTAGGTGCCTGCATGTGGACACAACCTCGGCACACCAGCCATGAAAATCACACACACAGAGGGGCCTGGGCACTGGCCGCCGGTCACCAGACCCCTGGACGAGTGCTGTGGGCGGTGCCTCAAAAGCCCCCCGAGGGGCTGAGGAGTGGGGCCCTGGATCCCAGGTCTGCTCAGTGCCCCCTGCCCACCGGCACACGGTGCACCCCCGGCCCACGTACCAGGAGCAGCTGCAGCAGCAACACCAGCACAAGCAGCAGGGGTTGCGCCTGGGGGGAGCTGGGGGAGCCGCATCACGACTGGACATGGAGGGAGGCTGGTCCCCCTCCTCCGGCCCTGTGTGCTGGGGGAAGACGGGGCCGCGTCAGCCTCCAGGCAGAACCTGTGGGAACCACCTGCTTCCCCCCCCCGCCCCCCCGCCTGCTGGGGGCCTGCTTGCTCCCGGCGGGGCGTGACCCTTCTGGCCTCCCAGGTGTCCAGGGGTCTCCCAACTCCTAGTCATGCCCCCAGCCCCCGAGGGACAGAGTCAGCGGTGGAGGCGGCCCACCTGCTTCTCAGCCTCAGGCGGGGTGGGCATGGGTGGGTGGAAGAGGTTGCCGGGGCTCCGTGGTACCTGCTCCAGGACCCTCACCACAGCCTGGGGCTCTGAGAAGAGAGGCCGGGACTCTCATGGAGGACCTGACACCGGTGGCAGCCTGCCCCCCTGAAGAGGTCCCGAGTCTCTCCCTCCTCCCGGAGGTGTCCCCCGGCCCCCTGCCCGGCCTCCCACCTCCAGACCGCTCTGCCCAGGCCCTGACGCCCACTCCAGTCTACACTGTGGCTATGAGGGTATGTGGGGTCAGGAAGGAGGGGACCCCAGACAAGATCTCCACAGGAGGTTCTGGGACACCCCCATCTACTCGCTCCCTGGGAAGCCGGAAGCCAGGGTTCCTCTTTCTCGGTTTCCGGCTCCTGGCCCCTCCCAAGGGGGCTGGAGGCCCCCAGAGTCTGGGGCTATAAGGGCGGTGCATAGGGGTGGTGGTCAGACATTTAGACCCCCCATCCCAGCTCCCTCCATCCCAGGTTTTCCTCGGCTGCTGGGAGGTGGTGAGGGTTGCTCCCCACGAGGAGTCCGGATCAGCCCTGGGGAGGCTCCCCACCTGCTCCTGGGGACTCAGCAGGGGCAGCAGACCAGGCCTGCAGACAAGGAGGACTTGGGGCTGGGGCGGGACGTCCTGAGGGTGCGGGAAGTGCAGCAGGCACCGGTGAGGACGGCCGAGAGCCGCCAGGGACCGCCACCTTCTCGGCCCGGTCACTGGCCCGGCGCCCGAACACTCGGCTGGCACCTTCCCGCGCCCAGGGTCTCCCGGCCTCCCTTCCCCTCCCACCGCCCCCCCCCCCCCACAGGCTGCGGAAACCGCTGCGGCCCCAGGCCTGCCGCAGGGCAGGGCGGGCGCGCCGGGCGGCGGCGGGGGATGGGGTGCGTCCTGCTCCCGGGCAGGTCGGAGCCGCGGGGTCCCTTCCGCTCGGCGTCGGGGCGCACCTTCCACGGTGCGGACGCGCGGGGGGCGCCGGAGCCCCATCCGGGTGAGCGGCCCCCGCGGGGAACCCGCGGACCCGAGCCGCGGGGGCGGCCAATCAGGGTCCAGGAGGCAGTTTTGAACGCCTCCCCACCTGCCTCCCAGTCTCTACCTCGGCCTGCGCCCACCTCGGCCCAGGCGAGGCGCCCCGCCCCACCCCCGGGGCGGGGGGCGCGCCCCGGCACGTCTGCCACGCGGACCTTCCTGAAACCCCGTCGCGAGGTGCTCAGGACTTGGTTTCAGTTTATTTTCTCATTAAATGATCATCCGCCCTGCTGCCCCCCATCCCTCAGCTCTTGGCCTTTTAATGTCTGTTTGGTCCATGTTGGCCTCGTGGGGTGTGCAATGGCAGAAGAGGAAAGTGGACGCTCTGGGATAGGCCCCGGGGCAGTCACCAGGCTAGGCAGCTCCTGCCTCCCAGCCACTGACGGGGTGCTGCGCTCAGAGGTGACAGCCCGGGATATGCACACCTGGGGCACCCCTGTCTCCAGAGCCTGGGCATGCGGAGGCCTCGGCCTTGACCCAAATCTGGGGGCCAGGTGTAGGGTCCCACGGGGCCTTGGCCACTTGGCCACCTGCCTGGCTTCCCCTGAGATCGCTGGGGGGGGACCCTCCAACTGGATCCCACTGGCTTCCAGCAAACAGATGGGGAAGAAGCAGCCCAACAGCATGCCTACCCTCAGGGGTCAAGTTTCTAGGGAAAGGAAGGGGTGTGGCAACCTCTGAGGTCTGGTAGCTGTACCCCAGACGGGCTGTGACTTCCCCAGGCAGAGCGGCTCTTCCTCCTCTGCACCCCTGCCCCCCCCAGCACCCTGAAGACTGTACCCCTCTAGGCTGCCTTCTCCAACTCAGCTCTGACTTGGACGAGGGGACCTGCCTGAGGATGCAGGGCCCAGGTGCTGGGGCAGGAGAGGCAGGGGGAGAGGCCGTCCCTTCTGTCCTGGTTGCAGGCCCTGCACCTGGTCACCCATCCCTGGGCCTGGCTCCCTGCACCCTCCTCAGGCTGGCTGGGGCCACCTGTGCCCCTGGGGCACCTGCTCTCTTTCTTGGTGGGGGTACAGGGTCTGAACCAGGGTTCCCGCCCCTCATTCGGGCACGTGGGAGGGGGCTCCCTCCCCTACCCCAGCCCCTCCAGGCTTTGGTCCCTAAGTCTGGGATAGGAGAAGCTGGACAGGCAGCAAGTTTGGCCTCTGGGGACAGAGGCTCCCTTGGGAGCAGCTGCTGCTCTGCTCCACAGAAGGAAAAAGAACGTCCCCGAGCCCGCCCAGTCCAAAAAAAGAATAAGAAAATGTGACAATCCCAGGAAAAAAATGCCATAACCTTTGGGAGGGGGGTTGACAGAGGGGTTCCATTCCCTTCTTCTCACCCTCCTCAGCACCTTTCCTGTCTGCCGCGCCGCCCCCCTCCCCCGTAGGTAAGTCCCAGCCTGGCTCCTCCAAGGCAGGCCAGGTCTTTCCTAGCCCTGGTGACCCTCGCCACTGCCCACCTCTACAATGGTGGGGGCAACCCACTTCTCTCCCTCCCTCTCTCTCATGGTGGGGTTGGGCCTGGAGAAGTCTGCCCCTTCCTCCAGCCTCTGACGCCCCCACCCCAATCTCAAGGAACTCGCCGTGCGCCCCACTCACCAGCGACCCAAAGGCGAGGCAGGGGCGGGAGGGGCCAGGTTCGCTCTGGGCCCCACCCTGGCTGCCGAAGGGGCGTGTACTGCAGCAGCAGGACTCAAGTCAGACGGCAGGAGGTCCTCCTGCGCGTTCTGGAGCGAGGCTGGCGCCTGGAGCCCCCGATCGGCTCGGGCCGGGGGCGCAGCGCCTTCCCTGCGACTGGCAGGGATGAGTGGCTGCCAGATGCAACAGGGTGGGGGCGGGGGCAAACCGGGTGTCCCGCCTCGGCCCCTCCCCACAGGCTGAGGGGGGGGACGGGAGACGCGGAAACCTGGGTTCTTCCGGCCCCCCCCCCGCTTTGAGCAATCACTTCCCCAGGCTTCGAGCTGCAGAAAAGGGGAACCCGGCTGCAACGGCCCCTCCCCCACGCGCGGGGACGGGCTCCAGTCCCGCCGCGGCCCAGGGTCCACGTGGACCCCGCGGCGGAGTCCTTGGGGCGCGGATTCCGGCGCCGGTTTCCGAGGCTCCCGCCCCGCACGGCCCCCGGGCCCTGGCCAGAGGGGCAGGGCCGCGGTCCTCGGCGCCGCGCGCGCGCACTCACCGGCCGCGCTCCCGAGCCACTCGCGCCGCAGCCGCCGGCCCGCGCGCTCCGAGGTCCGGCCGAATCGTCGGGGAGCGGGCGCAGGCTTCAGTGCGCAGGCGCCTCGGCCTCACTTCCCCAAAGCGCGGGGCCGGGACTTCCTCGCGCGGGCAGACGCCGGCCCGGCCCGGCCCGCCCCGCCCGGCGCGCCCCGCCCCGCGTTCGGCCGGCTCCTCGCCCCACGCGCCCACTCCCCATCGCCCCGCGCGCAGGAGCGCGGCGCCTCCGTCTCCACCGTCGCTTAGGATGGCCTGTGCAGATGATGGGGCCTCTGGCCCCCCGGGGCGGCTGAGTTGGTACTGCGGCAGCTGGGGGTGTGGCCGTGCCCCAGCTCTGCTCGGCAGGGCCGGTCCAGCGTTGCCGTTACGGGGTGGGGTGGGGTGGAGGTTGTGGGGGGGGCGTCCCCATAGGTTACTTGCCCCGCTCGAGGGAGAGGCCCCCTGGAAAGGACTGTCCCCCGTGGTCAGTCCCGGCCTGGCCCTAGCCTCTCTGGCACTGGGTGTCCTCACCTGTGAAATAGGGTTAAGGGCGCGCTGTCACCGTGCTAGGGGACTTCCCAAGGAAGGGGGTTCCTGGGCTTCGGTGCCAGTGATGCCGGGGGTACTGGTTCTTATATCCGGGGTCGCCAAATGTCCCTGTCTGCGGGGCCTGGCTGAGTCCCTTTCAACCCCTCCAGTTGCCCCCAGATGTTCTACAGTTTAAAGCCACACCTCCCCTTTGCCACGAATGCCTGTCCCTTCTCTTCGGACAACTCTCCTCGTATCTTATGACCTGGTATAGCTGTGAGTTAAATCCCTTATCCCAGCATGCTTTGGGCCAGTGTCTGGGGGGCCCTGACCCTGCTCTGGAAGTGGTCTGCAGTGTCTGGGGGGCCCTGGCCTCCGACCGTACGCAGCTCCTGTCCCCGGCGCCCAGGGCCCGCTCACAATCTTATGACTGGTATAGCTGTGAGTTAAATCCCTTATCCCAGCATGCTTTGGGCCAGTGTCTGGGGGGCCCTGACCCTGCTCTGGAAGTGGTCTGCAGTGTCTGAGTCCCCCTGGCCTGTGAGTTAAATCCCTTATCCCAGCATGCTTTGGGCCAGTGTCTGCGTGGCCCTGGCCCCCGACCGTACGCAGCTCCTGTCCGCGGCGCCCAGGGCCCGCTCACAAAGTGCCTTCCAGTTGCTCGGGTTGCAGGTGCTCGCTGTCTTCCGCGCTCTTGGGGGCATAAAGGGCAGTGGAGATTTTACGTGCGCTCCTCATTCATCCAGCAAATGTCTGTGTGTCCCCTGTGTGCCAGTCAGTGGGACCTGGCAGCGAGCAGGACAGACAAGCCCCGGAGCAGACAAGAAGTGGACTTGCAGACTGGGTGAGAGGTGAGGAGAGCTAAGGAGAACCACAGAGCGACGAGGGGGGCGTTTCAGTGCTACCGCTTGCTCAGCACGGGACGGAGCTGGAGCCGCTGGCAGGGCAGCAGGGCAGGAGCTGAGCTGAAGAGGGTGCGGGCCAAGGTCAGGGAGGAGAGAGGGGCCCTGCAGTCCGGGGGGCGTCTTGATGCCCTGTGCCCAGGGGGCTTGGCTGCCATGTTGACAGCCTGGCTGGGACAGGGCAGAGGCTGGAAGCCTGCCCAGATGGGAGGTGGCTGCTTCGTATTTAGCTTAGATAACAGTCCCGGGAGGTGGGTCCTTCAAAGACGGGCCAGAGCTTAGTCAAGGTCACACAGCCCTGCCTACGCCATGGTACTTGACGTGGCATCTTCACCCGCCTCCTGAGACGCGTGGGGCAGCTGGATGCGGGTGTGGGTCAGCGCACTTCTCTTCCACTCAGGCCACACTCTACGCTTCTCTGGCCCTCCCCTCCCCCTCCCAGCCCCCCATACACTGTCCTTCCTCTCACCACCCCCGCATGTCCCCCGGCCACTTAGGCCTCTCCGTGCCCCTTGCCTCGGCCCTCCTGGGTCTTCTGCCCTTCCTCTGGGGAGTCTATCCCGTATTCCACAGGAGGAACCAGGTGGGCCGGGCAGGGGCTCATTCAAGGCTGTGCAGCAGGTAATGCTGGGGGTGGGATTTGAACCCAGGACCCTCTGTCTAGAGCATGAGCTCCCAGCCCCCAGTACATTGGGCTGCGGCCTACATACTTTGCTTTCCCATAGCAGAAGCCTCCTTCAGGCCCTGCAGAATTGTCCTCGGCCACTTTCCTGGGCCTTCTCTGCAGACCGAGGACCCCTCCCTGGTGTGGGGATCAAAGGGTGCCCATGTGCCAGCCCCACGCCTGGTGCAGAGCTGTCTGTGAGGCCGCCCTCTTGCTGGCCTCCTCGGGGCGGTGGGTGCCTCTCTCATCCTCTGTCCTCAAGTGCCTGCCTGATGCCCTCCTTCCCCTCGCCCGAGCCACCTTCTCTTCCCCTGTTCCTTGTTTCCCCTACCTGCCTGAACCGCCCCCCGCATCCCCCCCCCCATAGAGAGCTCCCCCTCCCTCATGGAGCTTCCAGTCTCCAGCTCCACACACAGTTCTGGGCTTGGATCCACGCCAAGGGTGCAACGACCCGGAACAGGCGAAGGGTCCTGTGAGGGGAAGGGCTTGCTGAGGCCACAGAGGGCTCAGGTCCCCAATCTGAGCTGCGTCAGGGAGGGCACTGGCCGCCACAGAGCAGGATTCCTTGCTGGACCCCAGCTCTGACCTCTGCCAGTAGAGGGCCCACCCCTCCAGGACCAGTTCTCTGCTGCAGGCTGGCAACTCTGCCAGAGGCTCCTGGCAGGGGAGGGCCTTGTCTGAGGCCCCCCGCTCTGTAGCCTGCTGGACTGCTGGGAGGGAGGAAAAGGGAGAGCCGGCTAAGAGAAATCTCAGTCTCTGCGAAGAGCCTGTGTTGGGCAGGAGAGTAAGTTCTCGAAGGGGAGATCTGTCCAGAACATGGGAGGTTCTTCAGAATCCAGAGGGTTTGCAGGATGTGGGTTTGTCAGAATGGAAAGGGGCGGTGTCCTTCCTGTCCTCTGTGTGTGTGTGTACGTGTGTGTGGTGGTGGTGGGGTCCAGTAAGGGGGATCAAAGGGGCAGAGGAGGATTATCAAGATAGAAAGGAAGACCCGAGGGTGATTTCTGCCTGAAGGGTCTCCCCCTCCCCAGTCTCCTGGTCCTCTGAGGGTCTCCCAGGCATGGCTGACTGTCCAAAGGCCAGCTTTGGCTTCTGCAGTCACTGTCCTGTCCAGAATGTCACCTTCCTCGCTGACCCTCTGATGGAATGACCTGCAGTCTGGGGTCCTGCTTGGGTACCACTTTCTCCCCGAGGTCGCCCTTACCTCTGGGGGTGTGACTGTTGCTGGGCCAGGCTCTTCCTCCCATCACACCCAGGCTGGGGGCTCCCACGGACTCACAGGGCACCAGATTGCCTGATGGGGGCAGCGTGGGATTTGGGGGATTCGGGGTGTCCCTGCCCCCTGTGAGTCTGATGTCAGCCAGCTTGTAGCTTTCCAGTTTGTTGGAGGAGCTGCACTCTGAGTACCCCAATGCCTGTGACATCGGATGCATCCATCCTTCCCCCTTCCCTCCCAGGGGACCTAGAGAAAGGAAGCCTAGACACCAGGGGGCGCTTTGAAAGTGAGAACTTTATGTAGGAGGGTGGGGCACAGTCGTGCACTGTGGGGTCGCCATCAACGCGGGAAGATGCTGTCATCGACTTTCTCCTCCAGAATGGTTTCCACGCGCCTCCGCTGCGGGGAAGGAGGTGCTGGGGCCGGGTGTGCGGGGCGGAGGGCGGAGGGCGGAGGGCGGGCCCCCGCCCCTCCCCGGCCCTTCCCGGGCTCGCAGTCACCTCTCGACGGTCTAGGGGGTCTGGGATCCGCGTGGGCTTCAGCTGCGGCGGCAGGAACAGCTCCAGCCTGAGGGCGGCGCGCGCGGACTTCTGCCGCAGGATTAGGAGCGAGATCTCCTCCGCCTGCGGGTGCCGGGGTCGGGGCGCGGGGATGTTGCGGAGCCTTGGCGACGGGCGGCCCCGCCTCGCCCTCAGAACCCCCGGCCGGGTGGTCCCCCCGTCCCTTCCTCGCCCCGGCCCCGCCCCTGCCTCACCCGCAGGCGGGCGTAGCGCAGTCGGAGAGCGCGGACTCGGCCGCGGGCCTCGGCGGCCTTGAGGACGCCGAGGACCTGGTCCTGGCTTTGCGCGGGCGTCTCGAGCTGCAGCGTCCACGCGCGCGGGTCAGGCATGCGGTACCCCAGCTCTGCTGACTCACTCGGGAAGACGGAAGCGGCCGCGCCCACGTCCTCCAGCAGGTCGCCGAAGAGCAGGTGGCTGTGGCGCTGCGCGGGCCGCATGGCCTCCAGGCCCTCCGGCGTGAGGGCCCAGCTCGGCGTCGGGGACTCCGCCTTGGCACACCTCACGCGGGCCCCTGCGCCCTGCGCGCCCTTACCCACTCGCTCCCGCGGGACCCTGCACGCGGTCCCTTCGCCGGCTCTGGCTGCATCCTCGGGCCCTGCCGAGGGAAGACGATGTCCTGTCCTGATGTCCCGTTGGCGCCCGCTCCTTCGGTCTGACCCGGCCCCGCCTTGGGTTCCCAGCTCCGGCCCCTCTGGACCCTGTGCAGCCCGCCTTAGGGCCCGCACCTCTGGTCTCTGCACCTTTGCCACAACCTCGCACACGTCCCGGTCAGCTCAGCCTCCTTACTCACTCCTGCATTCCGCTAGAACTTTCGGATCCACTCCCTTCCTGCCCACGGGCTGTTTCTCCCGCACTGGGAAAATGCTGAGACCCCTGAGTTGACCTCAGGCACTACCCAGGGGTGGAGACAGATTGAGGCTGCTCTGGGTGAGGCTAGGAGGACACTTCCTCCCATGCCAGGACCCTCGCTGTGTCCGTCCCCCATGTCTGCGTAGGCCTCAGACCCCTCTGTCTTAGTGTTAGGGGCTGGAGGTGGCGGGGGTGGGCCTTCATTATATCTTGGGCAGAGGACTCATGCTTTTCTGGGAGATGTGTGTGTGTTTGATGTTGTGTGGGTCCGTTTGTGTGTCTGTGGGAGGTCTCACTTGTGTGCGGCGGAGTCTCAGAGTCGAATGGACAGCTGGCTTGCTGCAGGGGAGACGCCATCCCCCCAGCCTGTCCCACGCTGGGTCTAGATGGAGTGAGGGAGAGAGGAGCCCAGGGAAAAGGTGGTAGAGGGGGAAGGGCCCCCGAGGTGGGAGAGGGAAACACCCCGGAAGTCCCGGTGCAGCCCTGCAGGGCTCCTTTCCTTGCCCGGCCCAGCCCACAGCACCTCAGACCCCGGACCCCAGGTCCTGGGCCGGGTCCTGGCCCACACTGGGACAGAGGCTGGCGTCCGCACCCTCCCCCGCCCCGTCCCTAGCGGCGGCGGTCGAGCGCCCGGCCCTTGCCTCCCGTTTCCACACCCCATACTTTCTGCCTTCTCGGGTCTGGGCCTCCAACTCAGCCCAGACTCTCTGGGACTTGTTGACGCGGTTGCTCGGCAACCAGGAGGCCCGCCCCTCCCCCAAGCCAACGGGGGCGGGGCGAGCCCTCGGGGAGGTGCATGGTCAGAACTTCGGTCCGAGTGCACCGAGGTCCCCGGCCAGATGCCCCGCCCCGGGACCTCCCGGCTGTCAAGGACCACGAGGGAGATGACCCTCAGCTTTAACAGCCCGGGTGCGCTCTCCTTCTTTTCTGAAGAGCCCCAAACGCACTCTTCTGCGGGCTGTGGGCCCAGCTTCCTGGCTGGAGAGGTCTTTGCTGGCTAGTTTTGGGGTCAGGGGGCGCAGATCTGAGGAGACCTTCGTGGTTGAGCCCCTTCCCCCTCTTCATGGACCACGAGGCCTCCCACAGCAGAACTCAGGACTCTTCACCTCTTCCAGGGCAAGTCTGGGGGTTCCAGGGGTGGTGTAAGAACAGGGGTGGTGTTTTTTTTTTAAGACCATTGGTTTTGTTTTCTTTTTTTAAATATTTATTTATTTTCTTTCTTTTTTTCAAATAAATTTATTCATTTATTTATTTTTGGCTGCATTGGGTCTTTGTTGCTGCGCACAGGCTTTCTCTAGGTGTGGAGAGCTGGGGGCCACTGTTCGTTGCGGTGCGCGGGCTTCTCATCGCGGTGGCTTCTCTTGTTGCGGAGCAGGGTCTCTAGGTGTGCAGGCTTCAGTAGTTGTGGCACGGGGGCTCAGTAGTTGGGGCTCGAGGGCTCTAGAGTGCAGGCTCAGTAGTTGTGGTGCACGGGCTTAGTTGCTCCGCGGCATGTGGGATCTTCCTGGACCAGGGCTCGAACCCGTGTCCCCTGCATTGGCAGGTGGATTCTTAACCACTCCGCCACCAGGGAAGTCCTTTCTTTCTTTTTTTTTTGGGCTGTGTTAGGTCTTAGTTGCGGCGCGTGGGCTCTTCGTTGCGGCACGCGGGCTTCTCTCTAGTGGTGGTGTGCGCGTTTTCTCTCTCTCCTTGAGAGCTCAGTAGTTGTGGTGCGCGGGCTTAGTTGCCCCGCGGCATGTGGGATCTAAGTTCCCCGACCAGGGAGCAAACCGCGTCCCCTGCGTTGGAAGGCAGATTCTTTACCACCGAATCACCAGGGAAGTCCCCAGACTTGGGTTTTGATTTCTGGGTCCTGGGTCCTAGATTTCTGTAATTTATTTGTGCATTTGTTAATTTCATAATATTTTAGAACTGATTCGCTTAATTGATTAATTCTTTAATTTGTTCATGCACTCATCAGATTATTCTGGGTTCAATAATCCATGTACTCATTCCACAGTTGATGTTAGGCCAGAATTAGTGCATTAAGTCCAGAATTTGTTAATGTACTGGTGGTTCCCACAGTGTAGACATGCCTCTTCCCTTCATTCATGGATGTGCCAAGGTGAGCACTGAGGCCCATGGATGGTGCCGTTTTGGGAGTGCACGACCTGAGTCCCTGAGGGGAGAGACTGTCCTGGCTTTGGGGGTGGCGTCTCAGCTGAGGTTCTGGCCTTTCCGAAGGAGGCTGTTGACTGTTGCCATTGTTTTTGGGAGTTTGCTCTGGCCTCCCAGTGAGAGGGTAAGGTTTTTTTTTTTAAATACATCTTTATGGGAGTATAATTGCTTCACAATGCTGTGTTAGTTTCTGTTGTACAACAAAGTGAATCAGCCATATGCATACATACGTCCCCTCGTTTTTGTGGCCCCATATCTCGGGAGCTGGCATGCCATCCCCCGCTTCCCAAAGCTGCATGGAACTGCCCATCCTTCCAGCCCCCAAGCCTTTGCAGGAGCTGTTCCCTGGATGCTTCCCCTTCCCGCCCCCGGCTGCCGCAGGGCTTGTGCTTGTAGGGTGAGGCCTGGGCCTTGGGATTCAGCATCACCGAGGAGCTTTTGAAGGCAAAGGTCTCTGGGCTCCAGAAGAAGCAGTGAGGGCTTAGGCAGGCTGACCTGCCTCCTTCAAGCAGTCCTCCTGGATACACGCAGCCCAGGCCAGCACCACCTCTGGCCCTCACTCTGCGCTCCCACAGGAGTGAGTTCTCTGAGACAGGAGTCTGGGCCCTCCTCTTAGCTTCCCAGGATCCTGGCCAGGGAGATGCAGGGGGGAAGTGACTTGCAAGAGTGGGAGTTATGGGGGGAGGGGGAGAATGGGCGCACTCTCCTGCAGGAAGGGACTTGTAACTTTCCCTCTGTTTTTGTAGGATTGAAAACCTTTGACACCTGCTCCTCCTTAACTCCCAGAGGGCCTGGTGTTGGCATAGTTCACATTCCTGAGCGGAGCTTCTTCCTGCTTCTCTACCCCCCCCAACAGCTCCCCTGGGAGGAGAGGTGCTCCCTGTGTCTGGGGCCCAGCCACTGTGAGGCCCTGGGCCACGTCTCCCGCCTGTTTCTGTGTCCAGGATTCATGTGTTTTTCAAGGGCTGATGGAAATGCTGAGATCTAAGAGCGTGCTGATCGACGCCAAGACCTGAAAACTTCAAAATAATATCAATAAGGATTATTAAATGACTGCAAAATTTAACATTATACTGCAAATCTACAATTCTGTCACAGTGTGTAAATATTAGGAAGTTAAAATCACAAGGAAAAAGTAATATTTTATGAAGAAGCCCAGAATTATGAAAATCCTTTTACTTTTTTTTTACTTTTTTTTGCACGCAGGCTTTTCTCTAGTTGCGGCGAGCGGGGGCTACTCTTTGTTGCGGTGCGCGGGCTTCTCATTGCGGTGGCTTCTCTTGTTGCGGAGCACAGGCTCTAGGCACACGGGCTCAGCAGTTGTGGCTCGTGGGCTCTAGAGCACAGGCTCAGTAGTTGCAGCTCACCGGCTTAGTTGCTCTGCGGCATGTGGGGGTCTTCCCGGGCCAGGGCTTGAACCCGTGTCCCCTGCACTGGCAGGTGGATTCTTAACCACTGCGTCACCAGGGAAGCCCCATTGCTTTTACTTTTCAACAGCACAACTGGCCTGGTGACTGAATTCCCTGGGGATGGCTGTTCTGGGTGAGGCTGCTGGCGACTGTGCTTTGATTCCCGTGCCCTACTCCGGGGGGTGTGGGGGGTGGCAAAGCATATGCGGACCGAGGGGCAGCAGACAGTGTGGCATCTGGCGTTGACGGGCCCTGAGTCACTGGGTGCAAGGGTGAGGTGCGTTCACCCCAGTTTGTGGGTGTCACCAGCACTCTGGGACCTGGGTCCTGCCCGGAAGGCCTGTGACCTCCAAGTGTAGCCGTGGTCAGGCTGTCACTTGATATGTGGCGGACCCGTGCTCTGTGCTGTCCTTCACGTAAGCTGCGTGTCTTGGGCTGTCGCTGGTACCCTTGCATGTTTTGTTTTGCCTGCATATGATGTGTGTGCTTGAGGTTGTCTTGCTTCGATACAGATGCTCACACGTGTTACCTGCTGCCCCATGTGTAACACATATGTTCTGTGTCTTATCCTGGCCGTACAGGGCTCAAGAGAGGCTGGGCCATTTCCTGGGCCAGGCCCCCTTTGTGGGAATGCTGCAGGGTCCAGGGCTGGGGGCTACCATCCCCAGGAAGTGTCATCAGTACCCTGGCCTGGCCCCCCACGATGTGTCCTCACGGGAGGTCTGTCCAGACTGGAACTCACACCCAGCGTCAAGGCAGCCTCCTAGCCCCGCCCTTTCCCCAGGCTCAAGGCCATTAGGAAACGCAGCTTCGGAAACTGGCGGGCAGGTGGGCCCAGGCAGTGGGGGTGGGAGGGGCTGAGGTTGGCTGCTCAGACCTCGGGGAGCCCAGGTCAGGGAGACTGCAGGAGGGCGAGCCCCTGGGGTTCCTGCCCTGCTGGGGCTCCCAAGGTCAATGGGATGGGGCTTCGAGCTTTGCCTGGAGAATGTGGTGCACGTGTGTCCCCCGGGCGTCTGAGGCTTTGCTCTGCCTCTTCTCCCGCGTCTACCTTGTGCCTCACGTGCACCCTAGTGTGGGTTTGCGTGGGTGTGGCCCATGTGTCTGTGGGTCCCTTCGAGTGTCTGTGCGTCCTCTGAGCACGTACCCACGTCTGTTTGTTTACCTGTGTGCCTACTTGGGCATCTTTGTGTGTGTTTTTGTGAGTCTTTGTGTCCTGAGTGCCTCTGCGGATGTGCCCCATGTCTCCACACGTGTCCCTGGGTCGACTGCAGTGAAGATGCAGAGATAAGTCCTGGGGGACAGCCTGGGATGCTGAGCCCTAGGGTATTTGCCTGCTCTGTCCTCTCCTGATTCGCCAGGTATCCTAGCGACGCTGCTGCCAGTCGCCTAGCAACCAGGTCCCCATCCTTGGAGACAGATGCTCCAAGCAGGGGCTGGGCTGTGTGGGCAGAGCCCGGGCAGGAAGAACGACCCCTTGACTGGGTGGGGCTGGCAGTTCAGCTCAGGGTCACCCACGAGGCATGTGCCCCCAGGGATGGGCAGGAGGCAGCTCCATGTTGTGCCGTGTGGGTGCTGGGGGCCCAGGCTGTGAGGCAGTGATGTTCAGATGTTGTTCAGGGACCCATCCGCTGAAGCAGAGGCGCCCTTGCTGGGTCTTCAGGTGGCAGACAGACCTGGCTCTGAACGCTGTCTCTGCCCGTTTGACAGGTGGCCTCACGCTGCTGAGGTGCCCTTGTTGGCACGGAGGTGCTGCCGAGGCCCACAGTCAGGGGTGGTGGGGGTGGACAGGCT